AAAAAGTTTTACATCAAAGAAAAATCAACCTATCATGCGCAAGTCTAGAGACCCCACAAAAGTGCAAGTAGAAATAAAGTCGAGTTTTGGAAAGATGCCTATTATTTCAAAAACCTCAATAAATACACAGCAAGAATCTAAGGAGAATTTTAGAAAGAAAATTTTAGAAAAAGCTGACCAAATATATGAAAAAATACACACAAAAGTAGCATAATTTTTCTAAATCACTTCTTTTTTAAAAATGCCATTTTTGGCATAGGTTAGAGTTTTGTCAAAAGTCCAGTTTATGTGAAATAAATAGATTATCAAATAATATCATTAGTTAATTACAGAGATGAGTGCTTGTGGTTAAAACCCATTTGCTTAATTATTTCACCTTCAATTTTTCCATAACTTTTGCATCTTCATCTTGAACATGGTCATATTCAAATAAGTGCAATAAGCCATGAATTATTGCTTAGGGTTTAGACATAAGTGGTGAAACTGGATTTAGATTTTTTGATTCACTGTCACATTCATATTTAGTGCCAATCGCAGATTAATATGCAAGCTTTGTTGTTAATTCAAATGAAATACTGGTAGAAGAGTTAGAAATTTTGTTAAAAATATTTGATAGAGATATTTATTTTAAGGAGAAGAATATTAATTTGACATAAACAAAAGTTATTTAAAGATACTAGCTGTAATAATTAAAATTTTTTTGATTCTCTTAACCTAATCTTAACGTAACACATGTTATAGTTTCCTCGAAACATAAAAATACGGTAGTGAAATGAATCAATATAAATCAAAAAAATTATTAGGAAGCACACCTAACTATAATGCGAAAAAAATTTGTTTAGACACAGTCTCTTACTATAAAGAAGATGAAATCTTGATAGATAAGCTATATCAAGATTTTGCATATGATCGATATTTAGGAAATGGTCCTGTAAAATTTTTTTTCCAAAGCTTTGGTTTGTTTTCTAAAAATGCAGTCTCTTACAAAAATTTGTTCAACAGAACATGTGACGAAGTCTATACTTTAGATCAATGGAATGCAGACATTTTAAACAATTATTCAGGAGAAGTAATCATTATTGCTAATGGTCATAGTACTGGAGCTAGTTCAAGCATAGTTTCACAACACTATACTAAGTTTGAAAAAGGTGTTTATCTTAAAGAGCCAAAAAAATTAGATTTGAGTACTGTTATTATAGATCTTAATTCTTGGAAATTAAGTGATAATGAAAATGATTTTTTATTATTAAATTTATCTTGTGAAGGAAGAGAGACACTTAAAAAGGCAAATGTAAGTGGAGTTGAAGAAACTATGTTATGGTACCATAAAACAGATACAGTAGATTATCTTAATTATAAAATGGTTACGACACCACATGCGTTTTATAATACGCATATGAGTCTTGTGGAATGTTCTAGCTTGAGTGATTGCCAAAAATCATTATCTAATTCGACCTCATTCTTAAATTGAAAGATACGAAAGTTAAAGA